GCCTTGGGCCTTCTCGCCAGGGCGTCTAGAACACCCCACTCCTCAGAGTCTAGAACATCTCCAGGGGAATGTTTATTTCAGAGGTGCCCCCAAACAGGCTCACAGCTCCCTGAGCCCTCCCTGGATCTCTTGGTTCCCCCAAGCCTCACTCTGGATGCGTGTACACACACACACACACACACACACACACGCACGCACGCACGCACACGCAAGCCCTGAGTGACAGCCACTCCCCGAGGATGCGGGTTGGAACCCCACATCCCGGCTCTATTTGGCCACTGGCCAGAATCTCCCTCACCTCCGCCCGGCCCAAGCAATGCTCTCCTCCCCACCGCCCCCACCCTACCCAACAGACGTTCGCCGAGCCCTTCGCGGGGCTCGCCCCGCTCGGTAGTGAGCCTTCTTACTGTCGGGGAGTTCCAGTCTGTCTGGGGACCTGAACGGTGCTAGGTGGGCGCACAGCCAGGGATTCCTCCTGGAGTGTGGGCTGAACGGGGGCGGGAGGGAGGAAGAGCAGCTAGGCGGGGAAGGGAAGTCGTCGGGGAGAAGGGGGAAGGCAGGCAGTGCAAAGTCCCGGAGTGAGAGTTTTAGTCTTTGGGGTAAACTAAATTCTCTACATCCGAAGTTGCAGGTGAAGGTAGGTAAGGCGTTGACGCTGGTGAGTTAGGCTGTGGTGAGGTGCTGCTGCGAGTGCTCCTGAGCTGTGATAAATGGAGATTGTTGGGGGGGTTCTTTTTTATAGCAAATAATTTACTCCCGAAAGACCAAATGCAGACCGAAATCTTTCCTTCCAGTCCTGCAGAAGCTAATACGTATATACAGTTTCCATTTTTGTATTAAGAAAGGAACTGAAGAAACTTCGAACCTCGCGGACCTGTGTGCCCCGAATTTTCCGAGAGGTTTGGGCTGGGCTTGGTGAGGGGTCCGCTGCGAGGCCCCCGGGCCGGCTGCCGGCCGGCTGGGCCCTGCGCCAGGCTGGGGGCGTCCTCCAAGCACTGTCGCTCTCCCCAGCCCTGAACGAACCCACCATTGACTACGGATTCCAGCGGCTACAGAAGGTCATTCCCAGACACCCCGGAGATCCCGAGAGGCTGCCCAAGGTACACAGAGGGGCGCAGCGGGGTGGGGATGAGGGTGTCCTGGGGTCAAGGGGGGCGGTAGGGGGCTGCCGGCCCCCCTGTCGCCCCGGGGACTGCTCCTTGGTCCCGCTGTCTCCTCCCTGGCCCGCAGGAAGTGCTGCTGAAGAGGGCGGCCGACTTGGCGGAGGCCCTGTACGGAGTGCCCGGCAGTAACCAGGTATGGCGCCTCCGGCCGCCTCCCAGCGCCGCCCAGCC